CCCCCACCCCCGCGGATCCCTTACTTACTGCTTTGGCGGGGGCCGGGGAAGTTGGGGGGGCTCTCTGGGCCTCCCCCTGACCCCAGCGCTTCTGTGTGGGCCCGAGGGACCCGGCTGCGGGGCTCTCCGGGCTTCCCCTAGCCCCAGCGCTGCTGCGTGGGCCCGGGGGACCCGACTGTGAGGCTCTCCAAGCTTCCCCCGGCGCTTCGGTGTGGGTCCGGGGGACCCGTCTGCAGGTTTCTCCGGGCTTCCCCCAGCCCCACGGCTCTCCGGGCTTCCCCTGGCCCCAGCGCTCCTGCGTTGGCCTGGGGAACCCGGCTGCGGTGCTCTCTGGGCTTCCCCCAGCCCCAGCGCTCCTGTGCGCGCCTGGGGGACCTGGCTCTGGGGCTCTCCGGGCTTCCCCCGGCCCCAGGGCTCTCCGAGCCTGCCTCTAGCCCCAGCTCTTCGGCGTGGGCTCGGGGCACCCGGCGGGGGGGCTCTTCGGGCCTCCCTCCGGCCCCAGCGCTTCGGTGCAGGCCCAGGGAACCCAACTGTGGGCTTTTCTGGGCTTCCCCTGGCCCCAGTGCTTCTGTGCGGGCCCGGGTGACCTGGCTGTGGGGCTGTCCGGGCTTTCCCCGGCCCCAGCGCTTCTGCGCAGGCCTGGGGGACCCAGCTGTGGGGCTCTTCGGGCATCCCCCGGCCCCAGCGCGAGGAGCTGGGGATGGGGCTTGGTTCACCACCATTTGTACTGGCTCCTGGGCTGCCGGAGCAGCACTCCGGCGTGCTCCAGTCCCAATAGACACCTGGTCGCCAGGTTAGTTGCCAAGAAGGGCTAGTTAGAGTCAAGATGTATAAGTAACTGAGTGATAGGTATAGCTAAGACTGGAATTCTAAGTTCTTTATGTATAATGTCCACTTTGTTGCATTTTGTAAGAAAGAAAATATCAGTCTGTATCTTCACAAGTTTCTTCATAAGGTTGACGAAGTTCCATTCCATGAAGATAGATTCAGGTGGGTAGCCGGGTTGGTCTGAAGCAATGGAACAAAGTTTGAGTCCAGTGGCACCTTTAAGACAAACAAAGTTTAATCCCACCCCACCCTCTTTCTACCTATATGAAAGGATTGAGGAAGTCTGATTCAGTGTATCTGAAGAACTGTGCATGCACATGAAAGCTTCTACCCAGAATTAAACTTTATTGGTCTTAAAGGTGCCAAAGGACTCAAGCATCATATGTTGTTTGGCCCTTATTGTTGCTGATACATTTTATCTGCATCCCACAGAAACATGATTTAATGCCTTTTAAATACCTCCTTCCCTGCCCCTCAAGACTACTGTATACTTTGGTGCTTTTCACTTTGAAATACCCCTCAGAGTCTGAGGTTGTAAGCACTTGTGTCCATGATCTGATAATCTCTTGCCCAGTTTACTGTTGACTTTTTCACCCTGCTAACCTGTCCTCTTGTGAACAGAGAATACTGATGTAATATCCCTGTCCCCTGTATTGATATTGTCATCCTTCAAAATGTTTGAATGGCTTTCTTGCAGTTTTCTAGATTTCACTGTACAGTCCCAATACTGGTCTTGCCTCATTTTTAGTCACAATGTCCCTGGATCTAAACTCATTTGCTGACAAACTCTCTGGCTCTCTTCTCCTAATCTCACTTCCATGTGCTTCTTTATGCTTGAAACAGCACCATTTATGTCAGCTTCCTCATCCTACTATAAATTCCTTGTGAACACCTATTTCGGATGCAAAGGCTTGTCCCTCTGAGTAGTGTCTGTTATAAATTAAGCCTTCCCCTAACTACCATTGTTACTACTTCTTCACTAGCTTATGTCCTTTACACATGTCCTGGTCATGTACTTACTGTAAATCTACTGAGCAGGGATCACATTATTACTGGCAGAAACTAGTGCATAGATGGTGCTGCATAAAGGTTAAACAATATTTTAAATGTTCATACATTTAAAGGATCATGTTTAGCACTGTAACAAGGATATATAATTATATTACACTTTTTAGTCCTAATTATTAATAACAAGGAACCATGGCCTGGATGCCCAGGCTAGCCTGAGCTCATCAGATTTCAGAAACTAAGCAGGGTCAGTCCTGATTAGTATTTGGATGGGAAACCACCAAGGATTTATGGGGTTGCTATGCAGAGGCAGACAATGGCAAACCGCCTCTTTTCATCTCTTGCCTTGAAAATGCTATGGGGTTGCCATACGTTGGCTATGACTTGATAGCACTTCCCACTCTAATAACATGGAGGAATGCATATCCCATTAGCATTAAAAGGTGGATACTAGGGATGGGCACAAACCTGGCTGGTTCACAAAGCACAAACCAGGGCCTAGGGGGACTGGTTTGTCCCACTAACCCACCCAAGAACCTCCATGTATTCATGGGCAGGTTTGGAAGTGAGCTCTGAAGGCAGTTTAATGCCATTGGAGCCCATCACTGGCCCGTGGCCCGACCTGAGTGAGTCCCAAAGGCATTTAAATGCCTTCAGAGCCCATCTGTCCATCAGGCTGGCCAGACTGAGCTCCCAGAGTGAGCTCTGAAGGACTTTATAGGTCTTATATGCCCATATATGGGCAGGCCTTTATCTGGGTAGGACCCACCCAGAAGTGGGCTGGAAGGCCTATTAAAGCCTTCAGAGCTCATTCTAAGTCAAGTTGGGCCACCCAACTTGACTGAGCTCTGAGAGTGAGTTCTGAAGGCCTTTAAAGGCCTTCGAACCTCACTCTCAGAGCTCAGTCGTGACACAGGTGGGCTCCAAAGACATTTAAATGCTTTCGAAGCTCACTTTTGGGGGGATCCCCCCCCCAAACCTCTGAAGCATGAACTGGTTTGTGCAATAGAGAAGTTTGTGGAAGTTCATGGTTTGTGAAACCATCCCTAGTTGATACTGATGCC